TCTCTCTCTCTCTCTCTCTCTCTCTCCTTTTCTCTCTCTCTTTTTCCCTAATGTTAAAATATATTTTTCAGGTATTCAGTGGTTACTTTGAGGCATACATCCTCCGTATCATCAAGTTTGCCAAAAGGTTGCCAGGGTTTCGATCTTTGTGTCTGGAAGATTGCTCCGCAATGTTAAAAGGTATAGCATATTAGTTTGGTTAAATTGCATGCAAGTGAACATCACCCTTTTAAAACAAGTTATAAACTCTAAATTATTAATTTTTTTCCTTTAGTTCATTCACTATTTCCAGTATTTGCTAAAAAATAATTTACTCAAAATCTACGAACCCAAACCTACAACAATCGAGCACAGCAGCGGGCTCAGTTTTGATTTAGAGACCTCGTTTAAAAGCGAAAAAGTGATTACCAGACTGTTTGTTTTCACATTTAAAATCTGATTTTTATCTTAACCTGACATTGCGACTTGATCGTTTTTCAGTTGTGTGTGTGTGTGTTTGTGTGTTTGTGTGTGTGTGTGTGTGTGTGTGTGTGTTAGAGAGAGGGAAAGAGAGAGAGAGAGGGAGAGAATGAAAGAAAGAAAGTGACAGAGAGAGAGAGAGAGACAGAGAGAGAGAGAGAGAGCGAGAGAGAGATTGTCATAAAACGGTAAGACAAGTAGTATACAGTATGTAAAACAGTATTATGCGATTTTCTATATTATATAGTTTTACACCCAAAAAAAATCAATTCCATTTTATTGTCGTTCATCAAATTATGCTAGTGATTATTATCTTCTTTCCCTAGTCTTTGTCTAATTCATAATCTCTTTCTGTCTTTCTACTCTCACCTAATATCGACCCTGTTCATCTCCTGTCCCTCATCTCATCTAATTAATTACGTCTCACCTCTCCTTAGTCATATCTCCAGATACCTCACACTACTTCACATGTTTCCGTAACCTTTATCTTCCCTTAACCTTATGTCAACCAGCCTACTTTTGCCTGATTACATCTCACTTTATCTAATCTACCTTCAACCCTACGTCACCATACTTTATCTTTCATCAAAATGCAACACCTCTACCCCCATCTACCCGTATCATCGCTCACACCATCCACCCCACCTGATCTCATCGCTTCTCACTCGCATCTTGTTATCACTCTTCCAAGAGAATATCGATACAATTTTTCAAAAGATTGATTTTTTTGTTGTTGTTGCGGATAATCATTCTTCGACATCTGTTCTATCGGGTCAGAATGACGAAACTGCGGGAAAAAACACCCTAAATGACCTAAACAGAAGTTGGAAAAGTTGATATAGATCTAGAACTAAAAATCGTCTATTAAAATCCTAAATTCTCTATTTTCTCAAAATCTGCTTTTTCCCACTTGTGATCTCCTTGGTGCAAGGAGTTTTCAAATACTACTAAGGCTAGAAGCTTCAAATGTGGCTTATAAGTGCTTTAATATCTATTCTGTGGATGTATAATGTGAGGAAATTGGGAAATATTGGTTACTTCTGGAAAATTTTCAAATTTTGCTAACGTATACCCCAAAGTTTCCTCAACTGACTGTCGGAGGGTCTGTTGACTCTGGGTTGTTGTTTTTTTTAAAAGATAGGGCAAAATCCTCACATAAATTTACAGTTTATATGGGTTCACATTTGTGTGCCAAATTTTAGACTGAAATTCCAATATTTTCTATGAAATTCATCCGCACTTAGAAATTGGTTTGAAAATCCAAGATGGCCGCCACAGAGACCCATTTTTCAGAAAAAATCAATAAATTTCCCCCTTCATATGTTCCATATATTCTATGAACTTCTTGCACAATTAAATGAAATTTAATGGAAGTGATTGGTTTGGAAATTTTTTCTGAGAGTGTACGTCTCCCCTTAACTCCTTCTTACTCTTTCATCCACTTCTCGAATCTTAGGGTAGGCTTCTCTGATAAGGGCGAACAATCTCGGAGGTCCCGTGTGCTAGTTGCGGACGTCAAAAATCCCTGGGTGGTCCTAAATCGATAAGAGCAGGCTTCGGCCGCCACCCTATCGAAACTAAACATGTTTAATGTCTCCGGGCACTTTTATGGCCTTATGAAGTTGCGAGAGCTGTAAGACACCAAATCAAAAACAATCAAACGTCCCCATTATCTTCTCTCACAACCTACTTCACTACACTATATTATTATTTTTATTATTATTATTATTATTAGTGTTGTTGTTGTTGTTGTTGTAGTTATTATTATTATTATCATTATCATCATCATCATCATTATTATTATTGTTATTAATATCGCTATTATGATGTTTTTTTTATATCTCTATTATTATTATCTTTTAGAATTTTATTTTATTTTATTAATTTAAAAAATATTTTGTTCTCTCCTCATCTCCCCCTCAGTCGGTCGCTCCCTTGTCTGCTTCCTTGGAACCTACCACGGTTTCAATGAGGAGCTAGGCGTTGGCCTTTTCCCCAACGGACACTGCATACATAGGTCTGACCTCTACCGAATGTTCTCCAAGGGTTTCGTGGATGCCTGCTTCAATGTCTCCCGGATTCTTCAGAGAGAGCAATTCAGTCCAGAGGAGCAAGTATTGCTCAAGTGTTTAGCGCTTACATTTGTAGGTGGGTTCACGTTATTAAGTTATTCCTTTTTATTCCTCAGTATCCATGGCCCCGTTTGATGACCCTGGGTCATCCTTTTTTGTGTTTGTTACTCTTTTGTAACATCTCTAATCCTCGACACTGATATGACCGAACTGTGTTGCAAGTGCCGTAAAGCACTAACTAAGACAAACAAGTTATATATTCATCATCATCCGGTACCTTGTTGACTGGCGTTGGCAATCATGGACCTCCTCGTCACTCTGTCTCGCGTTGCAGCAATGGTGTTTGTTGTTCCTGCTGCTCCCAGCAGTCAACTTGGCCAATATATTTTCCCTCTGTCTGCCCCTGCCTCTCTTTCCATCAAACGTGCCCGTTGTTACAATATTCTCCAATTTTTCTTTCTGCATTGTGTGTCCAAGGAAATTTGCCTATCGCTTTCGCATATTCGTCATAATCTGTCGTCTGCAATTTGCTCCAACCAAGACTTCTTCATTTGTTTTTCTTGCTGTCCGTGGGATACGCAGCATTCGTCTTATGAACCACAGCTCTGTCGCCTCAATTGTTCTTTCCAGCTGTCTATCGATTGTCCATGCTTCACACCCGTCCGACTCCTCTTTTAATATGTATGTATTCCCTGAAGTCGTTTTCTATTCTTATTGCAGCGGTTTGATCCCAGTACATGTTCTTGATAATCCTTATGTCCTCCCTGTCAATATTGAGGACTTCTAGCTTGTCGATGATCTTGTCGTGCCTAACTTTGTCAAATGCCTTGGTGTAGCCTATAAAGCATAAATGAAAATCTTTCTGAACTTCTAGGGCACGTTCTATTGTTGTTTTGATGACATATATGGTATTTACAGGGCCTCTGCCTTCAATAAATCCACACTGTTCTTGGGCTATTTCTGGGAGAATTTTATTTCATATTCCTGCAGTTATATATTACAGCCTCCAAAGACTTTTAATGTGTTGATGTGGTTCTCTTTACATAAAGCAATGCGTTGGCGCTCATAATATGACCTTATGCAGTTGCGAGCTCGATAAAAAACCTTACTAAAATGAAAAAAACAAAAATAATGCGTTGTGTGCGTTACTACTCTACCTACTTCATCTGTTAAACAAACGTTACCGTATATAACAAGAAAAACCCCAGAAACTCCTCTATTCGTCCACAGACCCTTCAAAACTCAAGAATCCTGAAGCTGTAGACGGCATCCAGAAGCTGATTCTGTCTTGTCTGAAGAGATCCTACCGAAAAAACTACCCCAAAAAGGACCAGTCATCGTTGGTGGGTAATGCCATGGCAAACTTAACCCTCGCGAACCCCATCAAACAGGCGGAGAGACTCAATTATCAGTCGCACGTGATGAAGACTTATGTTCTACAAAATCCTCTCATCAAAGAAATGGTCAAGACGGTGTAAATGATTGGAATAGAATGTGAGGCATCGGGGTGAAATCAGCTGATCATTAAAATAATACAGAAGAAAATGGCATTGTTCCGCCCCTTGGCAATTTTGGTCGATTTTTTCTTTTTTTCGCTCAACACCTTTTATGTATATTTAAAAACACAGTTTTGTGTGAATATTACTGAAAGCGTTGATTAAAGTCATGGAAAATGTAAATATGTAGTTTCTGAGGACTTTTTAACTTTGAGAGTGGCCAAACTTTGGCAGCCATGTTCTGCTAATTTTTCCTCTAACTCGAGGCTACCCTATTTTCTTCAATCACAAGTACCCCTACTTCTTTTCAAGATAGATTGATATTTTTTAAAAACAAATTTTAATGCTTGCTCTATGAACAGACTTTAGGATGATACCAATAACTCCATATGCCTAAAGACTGACGAACGCCTGACTCCACAGCGTCGTGAAACTAATGACTGTAATAATACGAGGCATCATGATGAAATCAGGTACTTGTCGAAATAAAGAAATCAATGAAACCACCATTTGTCTGGCCGTTGAGCAATTTTTTTTCAAACTGGAATTTTCTCTTTTTTCGCACGACATCTTTTATGTCCTTTTAAAAACACATTCCTACTTGGATGTTACTGAAAAACGTTGATCAAAGGCATACAAATGCAAATTTTCAAGGACACTCAAGCTTTGGAAGCCACAAAAAAACTTTGGGCGGCCATTGTCTAGCTAAACGTGACACCAAATGATCACCACCTCTTTCGGTCACAAATATCTCGATTTCTATTCAAGGTAGAAGATCTTTTCTTTACATCCCCCCACCCCCCCAAATGAAATGAGACAAATGAGCAAGTTTCAAGATGATACCAATACCTCGATATGCACAAAAATTTACCAGCACCCGGTTTCACCGCGTTGTGACATAATTGGCTGTGAAATTCAGTGGGATTGTCTGACTTGTAAATGTCTTGTGGCTCGCGCGATACCGTTTTGATGGTTTAAAAGGCGGGATTCTTCCATCCTGCCAGTCTCTGATGGATGTGATATAGGATCCCATAAGACTGCCGGAGATGGTAAATAAAATATCGAGTCGAACGCACGTCTTCCGCGTGCGACATACAGCTAAGAGCATAACCAAGACACCGCGATGCTAGAGATGGATGTTCTTTTACTTATTATGTAACTGGGATATTTTTTCTTATATTGTATGAGTGTGTAAATAAAGACGATTAATTGTACATAAAGTGTGTCATTCGAGCGTTAAAAAAACAACAAACCATAAAAAAAAAACTACATGGTATGTAAGAACTTGATGACACTCGGAAAATGACTTAGGGTCTCATATGTACTTCGTGTGTTTATGAAATGTTTTCTTCTCTGATGAAATAAAATGTATATGTAGAATGTTCACAAACTTTGTCGGTATTTTTTTTGTGTTGACGGGCTCACAAAGGTACGACATCAGCTCAATGTGTATCATGCTTGGCTATGGTGTAGATGGATCTGGTTCAAATCATTTATTGGCCCGTCTCAAACTTCTGATGCTTGTCGAGTTTAGGTTAGGCTATCGGATTCGTATTGGTGAGGTTGCAGGTTTGGGGGTTCGAGCCCACGGCCCAACGTTGTGTCCTTAGGAAAGACACTCTGCTCGAATTTTCCTCACTTAAACCAGGTGAAAAAAGGTACCTGGACAGTGGAAGATCTTTTCAGTATATTACTGTTTTAGCGCCTTCAAATAATTGGTAGCTTGCACTGTATTCTTTCCAGGAAGTTGAGTGTGATTTTTGCAGAATGCTATCAAGTCTGCTGAGGTGAACTGGGCCGAGTCAACTGGGCTACTGAAGTTAAAAAAACTATTATTTTCACTGGGTTTTGGATATGCCATAATTTCTCAAAGTGTTGGAAGCTCTAAACTATTTCTCAGTTGGGTAAAATGTAGACTTGCTGATAATTCTTAGCAGAACATAGACGAAGAAGTCTGTCGCAAGTATAATTTATTCTCTCTTAATATTTGTTTTAAAAAACAGTTGAGTATATCATCAACCTCCCACGGTATTGGAACAGAATATGCATAGCAGCATTGTTACAAACTCATTGCCTTCCATTGAATAAAAATCTTTATAAGTGGAAATTAATAAATTCACTCTAATGTGAGAGGTGTAACTGTCATGAAAATTGAAGATGAATTTCACTTTATTTTTTATTGTCCAAATTTTGCCCTTCAAAGGAAATTATTCATTCTTGCGGGCCTGACTCAGCACAGTTACAGAAATATGCAATGTTTGACCCATTATAAGAGATATGGGCACAACCTGTACTTTTTCATTATGGAAATTTAATTTTTTTTTAAATGAGTGTTTCATATAATGAGAAGTTGGCCAATGGTCTTAAACACTGAATAAACTTACTTTCTATCTCCCTTATGTCTGCTTGGGTAATTATATGGATTGCATTGCTGTTGAGTTGGGATCTGTGGTATACAAGCTATCTGCTATTAATTCTCCACACCTTCAAAGCTTGATCCTATCGGAGAAGGATTTTGAGCTCGGGATTCCTGCCCCTAAATTAACCGTACTGGTGCAGCGTAGAAAGAAGCATTGAACAAACTCGATCACTAACTTTTACGTAAAGTTTCTGCTGGCTTCATCACTGACTTTTTTGGAAGGTTTCTGCTGCCTTCATCGTTGACTGTTATGTAAGGCTTATGCTGCCATCATCACTAACTATTATGTAAGGCTTTTGCTACCTTAACTTTTACGTAAGGTTTGTGTTGCCTTCATCGTAATAGATGCCTTACCAGTTACAACACCTGGGCAACACAGCCTTACAGATTCTACTGGATATAATATATATACTTAAATATTATTTAACTTAAGCTGGAAAAAAGGGCAAGTACCTCAGTGCTGGAAAGAAGCAACGATGATCCCGATCCTCAAGCCAGGGAAATGTAAGACACAACCATTAAGCTATTATAGATCTATCAGCCTCACAAGCTGTGTATGTAAGACAATGGAGCGCATCATAGATTGCAGAATGCAGTATTACCTCGAGGCACAACACATCTTAGTACTTGAACAAGCTGGATTCCGTCAGTTCAGGAGCACAGAGGACCAAAAAACATACTTGTCCCATGTAAAAGAGGACTCCTTCCAAGCATAGAAAGTGATGCTAGCAACATTTATTGATCTACAAAAAGCGTTTGACATAGTATGGAAGGAGGGTCTACAAGTCAAACTCCTTAGATGTGGTATCCAAGGCTACATGTACCGATGGACCTAATCCTTTCTACACAACAGAAGAGCACGTGTGCTGGTGGATGGATATCAAGGACGGAAAATGCTGCTGCGATAAAGAGTACCCCAAGGTGGAGTCATGTCACCTTTGCTCTTTGTCCTCTTCATCAATGACCTCATGAAAGAACTGCCCAAAGGAATATTATGCCGCATTGTATGCAACTGACCTGGTTCTTATTTGCTAGTCTGAGGAATTCGTCACTGCTGCCACATATCGCATGCAACTAACATTGGACAAACTCACTACATGGACAAAAACCTGGTGTGTAACCGTAAACAAAGAAAAGTCTTCTGCTACACTCTTCACTCTCAGCCAGGCTGAGCCAAAACACCTCACATTAGACAAACCCCCTTAAAGTTTGAGAATCAACAGACGTATGTTGGACAAATCTTTGACAAGCGTCTCACATGGAAATAACACATTCAAAATGCAGAAAATAAAGCCAGGAAGAAACTTGACATCATGAGAAAACTATTAGGGACTCCGTGGGGAGCAAATGAGAAAACGCTTAGACAGGTCTATCTAGGCGCAATCAGGCCCCATCTCGAGTACGGATCCAGTGCATGGATGACTGCAGCACAGACTCACAAATACACTCTGGAAAAAGTGCAAAACCAGGCTCTCCGAATAATCACTGGAGCAATAAGGTCAACGCCTATAGAAAAGATGGAACAAACAGCATCTATGGTGGCCCTGCAGAGGGGAATGGGAATGCAAGGCCCTCATACAGTACACCAAGGCCACAGCTATGGAGGATCATATAATGCACACAAGAACAGCCAGATCAAACACCACAAGACTTAAAAGATCCAACTTCATCAAAGAGAGCAGAAAAATCCAAAGATCCCTACAGGACCATCTACCAGCCACAGTGCTGAACCATACCCCAGAGGCACCATCATGGCAAAAGAAAAACTCAAACATAATTATACACTCGTCCATTCCTATGTTCAAAACAAAAGATAACCACAGCGATCTGATCAAGAAGTCCCTCACCCTATCCATGCTTGAACAAAGATACCCACGAGAAGCATGGATAACGGTCTATACGAACGGATCTGCCACTGATGCTGTGAAAAGAGGAAGAGCCGGAGGCTCTAATACATGCAGCATATTTCATCATGAAAGTGGTAGATCTCCAAAGCCAAGTAGTACAGTCCATGCCGGCTTTAAAGTAAGCTCGGTCGTCGGGAGAAAGCTTAAGCGTGCTTAATGCCGAAGCGTGCTTGAGTGCGAAGTAGACATAATCCAGAGATTTTCATGTTGAAAATTTAACGTGCTATTTCCCTTTGTTTGTACATAGGCCAATAGCGGTCCCGCAAAAGTGTGCACTGTTATTTAGACACCCGCCATGGTTCGCTTGTTTGCTGGGGGTTTTTTTGGTGGTCGAATGGGAAATGAAAACTTAATTTAGATGCCCAGTCACGATACAACTCACTAGGCCTACACCTACACACTGCCTGTGCTTACCACTGCCCGCTGTGCCACTCATACCACCGCCTTCATCCCACCTCGCGCGTGATACACAATCCCGATTAATGGATAGCGAGGGTCAAAGGTGAAATCTCAGCCAGCCTCCCTTTCTCGTCTCCCCGACTCTCTTTGTATTTTTTTTGGTCGTGTGTAGCTTTGCCCTAGGTCTAGGCTAGATCCTATGTCCACGCGCGTGGTTGTGTGTATCTCTCTGCCTTCCTCTCCGCCCGTGTGAGTGTGTGTGTCCATCACTTGCGTTCTTTGTGTTTCTCTTGACACACTCCACTGCTGTGGTGTAGACTGTGTTCGAACTTCGATGGGTCATCATAAAAATATTGACTGTCTTGTAAATGAAGCGTGCTTGAAACCGAAGTTACCGTGCTTAAAGGCATGTAATTTATATAGCTAAAATTCGGTAAGAGCCGTTTAGCGTGCTTGAGTCCGAAACGTGCTTTAAGCCGGCGTGCTTAAAGCCGGCACGGACTGTATTCCTAACAGATGCCAAGTCAGTACTGCATGCAATCACTGCCGGCAAACTACCAAGGCTACGAAAAGTAATTGAGGACATCCCATGTCTGCGGATCATGCTGCAGTTGATTCCATCACATTGTGGTGTCTTAGGAAATGAGCAGGCAGACAGGATGGCCAAACTAGGAGCACAGAAAGAACAACCAGACAGCAGTGTTAACTACACAAAAATAAAAACAATTATAAATACACTATTTAGAGCACCTCAGACACCAGATAGCTACCATGAGCTGTCCCG